GCGAAGGATAAGAGGTATTCTTTGACAACGGGGATAGAGAGGAAGGTTGAATTTGGCAGTTAGGAGCCACTCTTCGAAATCCATATCTTCCTCGAAAGGGGGTAGGTCAGCGGGCGCTGCCACCATTGTGGAGCGAGACTCCTCGGTCTCCGCTCCCCGATTCCTAGCGTTCCTAGACAAGCCCGATTGGTTTGCTTTGGACATCTTTATTAAAGACGACAAGATGTATAGGGAAAATACAATATTCAAGAAGGAGGGGAGGCGCAGTCACTAGGTAAGGGAGAGGGCGATCCAGTTACCAGGTTCGAATTTCCTGCTTGCCTCCTCCCTGAAAGGCCCTTTAAAACAACATAAGTATTATATATATGGTAAAAGGGGTAGAGCAATACGCAATTGCCAATGTTCAGTTAAATTGATGACTGGAAGGTTTGTCAAGCAGCATGTGGGAACATACCTTATTCGACTTTCGGCTAAGTAAAAATGTGAGCTTAGGCTTGTGATCATTGTCTACACTTTGGTGCACGCATCGAGGGATACAAATTAACGCTAACAATAATTGATACAAGATGGGGATAGAATTGTATAAATTATTATGGGTTTACGTAATCTAGATCTCAATCGCTCGAAAATTGCACCAGGTAACTAATACTTTTTATAACTACCTATTGTAACGTACATTTTGAGCATTGCTGTTGGGCGCTCATTTGGGATTGATTATACATGCTCTATTAGAATCTTTGCAATATCCGGGGTAATTAAATACAGTTGGGTCTTTCAATGTATTAAATGGGGTCATTACGGAGTAGCAAAAAAGGCTGATCTGTTTGCCGACTTGGAATCATAAGTACTCAAAGCACACAAATAAGCATCTTTGACACAGTATCTATGATTGCGTCAATTGTACGGGAGGTTTACTAAAAATTGATTAACATGAAAGCATCATGCGTCTGACCACGGAAAAACTACGATTTCTATCTAAAAAAGGTCAAATCATTGGTGATATAGTGTTCCAAACCTTCCACGAGGACCGAGAGGCTATGGCATTGCCCGGACGCGTAACCAAAGCCGAGAGTTAAAAAAACAATCAAGGTATTTTAGGTCAAACCCGAGCACTAGTTGAATTTCGAGCAAAAGAGCCCATTGATCCCCACAGACAGCATATGCGATCAACTGCGTAAGGTGCAGTGCTTTTTTATTTTCAGTTGCAGTGGAATTTTTTCATTCGAGTGGTGCTCCCCATGTTGTGCTTGAAGGAGAATTCACCAAACAGCAAAACAGGCTTTTGTTGTTTAATTTGAGTCAGAATATAATTAAGTAGTAATGCGTTCGTACCTATAAAATGCCTAGTTAAGGTAAAGGTAATATCATTCTCCGGAAAGTGATGAATTTATTGCTTATCATTGCATTGTTTGAAGGTAATGTAAGCGAGAACAAACGGAACGAAACACTCCCTACTTAGGGCCCAAGGTTGAAAAAAGGAATCGGTTATAGCGATGTGAGAACTTACCACAAGAAAAAACTGCATTACGACAAATAGGGCGCTGCAAACGCTGTCAAACGTGCGAAGTAAGTTTAGAATGAATCGAAATCTATCGCAACCATAACCATTGGCATTTCACCTCCGACCATTCACCGCTAGCCACTTGCATGCTATTTAAATGCAGACGTTTAACTTCTAATTCCACCTCTCTGTGCGCAACTGGAGTACACCATTTCGTGCGTGCCTCTACTTATAATGCGAGTGTATTCAAATTAAGGGTATTTTCGAAATGCGGAAAAAAGTATTGCTTTAGTATACCCCTATGGCACTACGTAAAATATTGTAAGAAACTCCAATGATTATTAGGTGTCCAAAGATAAGCCAGCTTTTGAGTTCAATTTCAAAAAAGCACTATCGAACTGCTAAACGGCACCTTATGCGCCTAGACACAACATCCTCCTTTGGTTCCCCAATCGCTGGTCTCAAAGCTTAACCCATCTAAGTAAGTATTCTAAAAAGGTCTGATTGAGTGTTTTTGTAGCGAGCCCTTTTAATGCCTCAAGGTAGTGTTGTGTGCGATGAAGCGGTAGTAATTACATTTCAACAAACCACTGAACTAACGAGTATTCACACCTATAACGTCTCCGCTTGTTTAAAATATTGAGGAGGGTAAAACTGTACGATAAAAATAGAAGAGCATATTTTTGTAGTGACAGGTCAAATGTGAAACGCTTTTTTAAAAGTATTAATGCTACAAATACTTGAATCCATGTTTATACAAAAGCTTCACCTACGGTGTCGTCAACAATGGTGAAATAGAGCCACGCGGTTCAACCGAAAGGCCTCAGAAGGGGCCTCAAAAGGTAGACTAAGTAGAGAAATTAATTTCAAGTTCAAAACTGCCCAGTTCTTGCTAATTAGCTTGATAGAGGTCATGTTGAATAGCCGGTAATCATATCCACTTTTCGAAAAAGAAGTTTTTGAGAATTTCTTCTGACGGCAGAGCACGCGGAAGCGCACTGATAAGGAAAAGCTTTTACCCTAGTGGGCGAGTGGCCGTGTGCAAAAGCATGGCAGAGTTGTTTCGGCTGAAGCAAATTATGTCAGAAATTTGGTTGGATTGAAATGGAAAAACCTAATACAGATACGGATTGGCTAAAGATTTCAAGATAAATTATAAATTATTTGACATCCGAAACATTCTGATGACAACGATTTGGAAAATTTAGAAGGGTCCCCTGAACGTTGTCAACTTATTGCATTCACGTAACATTAATAATTTGTCTTTATCAATGTATTTGTTCTTCGACCAATAAATCAGACTTGGAAAACTAAAAGTGATGTAGCCTCATTTAATGACATTTACTGGTGTTTCATTTACACTTTATGTTAACATAATTGATAGTTTTTTTAGTGAAAAGTCATAACGCCGAGCGATACCCGAGGGAGCGGGACGTGTTGGCACGCGTGTTGGTGGTTACTATGATGGCTGCAGCCCCGTCGGAGGGGAGTAGCGGGTTGGTGTCAGTGGTTTCGATGACGTTAGCCGCCTGCCCCTCCTCCGGCCGCTTGAGAATGCCCATTCGTTGGCCAATTCGACGCAATTTGTTCATTGCCTCCTCCTGCATGAGTTTGAAGCACATTGCGAAGAATGAGAGACCAATAGCAACATAGAAGACGAGGGTTATCATCTTTTCCTTTGGGTTTTCTGAGTCTATCTTTGTACCTGAAATGGATAGAGGATAGTGTACTTAGCCATACAGAGGAACATATCTTTCCTGACGCATGAAAAATAAAACCACACTTAGCAAGGAAAATATAGCTAAATAAATCAAAAATTAAAGAGTTATCATATTTGCATGAAATAACACCCATCATATACAAATGTCCTGCAGCATAAAATAAGATAGTGCACATAGTTAAGTTTTTCACTAATTGGAAATAACCGTCAAGGGCGGAATTTTGACCTCTGGTGTGTTGTATGCTAGTTAGTTATGTTACTGAGCTATTCTTCACGATTTCTTACCAAGAATATTAGCCACTCAGATCCAAAAATCAGTAGCCAGTACTGTGTACAATATCTTAGAAAGCACTAGAAGCCGGAACTCACCAGACATCGCTTTGTACACTTCTGCAGACTGAAATCAGCCATCAATCAAACATTATGAGCGCACTTTTCATGCATTTGCTGGCTGCGAAATTCAAACTATTCAACCGTTTCCCGCGTCACTTTCATTACGGTTTCTGGAAAAATCATTACTAAGCAAACTAAGTATCTCCTTCATTGGAAAACCTGTATTAAAAACGATACTGATCCTTCGGGTATGATAAGGGATTCATCAAAGGTTTATAGTCTACATGAATTCTCAAAAAGATACACAAATTGAAGTTGATATCGATGTTGCTTAGAAATAAAAACCCAGTGGAAGTACTGGATAGCTCGGAAGTATGACAAATTGAAGGATTAAGCTACTGTGGGCATTCCTGCAAGGCCTGCGGAGATAACCACAAATGCCTCGCTTCACTTGTGCCCACGGTTGCGCATACCACCAACAAATCCCTCGTAGGAACGAACAGAGGGAGATGATAGACATGCAGTGGCCTGATGTAGAGTTGGGGAGACAATGTGAGTAGATCGTTTCAAGGAAATTTGTGCCCGGCACGACAAATAAGTTTAGACTGAAAGTTCTGTAGAACCTCCCCAAAGGCATAACCATAAAGATAAATATGGAAAAGGGACAACAGTCATGATGGTTACCACTTAACTATAGTCCATGTGGATTTCAACCGAAAAATATGTTTTCATAAAACAGTCAAAAAAGCTGCCTCTAAGACCATAATTAATGCCATCAAGGTTTTATTAATCTTGAATGAAATTTGCCTCTGTATTATTTTACAGGGATCAATCGCACTCAGGTTGTGGCGTAATTTAAATGTAAGGCACGGCTCTACGACAGAGGAGCAGTGTCTTACATTGCGGTCCCCTGTTTTATTGTACAGGGGTCAAATCGAAGCGCGTCGACCACAAGACAGTTACAGTGGGATGGGTGCTTTTCTTTACATCATTTCAAGCCCATTAAAACCAAGCAACACGGTGTGATAACAATTTATTTCGCCTTTTATGGCTCCAGTTGTCTCACTAAGTCAAAATACTGCCTTAATTTACAAGGAACAGCATATGCTTCACAATTACCTACGCAATAATATCGTAATGTCCGCATACAACTAGTATCTTTAGGGCAGTAATAAAAAACTGACTAATCTGTAAATAAAATAGCATACATTTAACATATTACCAAGTGTTTTCTTTAAAAAAACATATTTAAACTACACCCCCTTAACGGATTGCATTCCCATTCGCATTTGGCAAAAGTAGTCTAGGAGGCAACCAAGTTTAGCAGCATCAATCTGAACTTGGGACCTTCTAAGAGATGGAGTGAACCCCTGATGGGAAAGTAACCGTTTACGGCATGGCACTGGTGCTAATTCCGGCGACAACTTGTATGACCATCAATGCTAGCCCCTGAGAACACAATTTAAATGCTAAAATGACAGAGCAATAAATGCATCGTTTAGGAGCACTCATTCTTGCTGGCAGATAAGACGTATTAGTATGTTAATAAGTAAAGGTTGGGATATTGTTGGGCAATAGCCTAAAAGCAGTCCCAAATTCGCACAAAAATATTTAGCGCCCCCGATTACAGCAGTTCACTTTCTCGTCCCAAATAAACAGGTGAAGGTTTATTGCAGTCATTTTCCGACTTGCGTGCTTTAATTGCACCCAACATATGTTTAATATATTTTTTTAATTCCTTATGTTGCAGTTAAAATCAGGTGAAAATGTCTTAGTCAAAAATAACTGCAAATAAATCTAGTCTAGAGTTTACCCTAAGATAGGGACCCATTTCTACAGCATACCAAAATGTTGTAAATGAGATGCGAATACTTCTTTTAGAGGAAAAGTGGTTTGAAACCTACTTTTTCCACATTAGAAGGAATTAAAATATAGTAGCTGTAATGCCCTTTGATACATCAATAAATGATGCTTTTCTTGTCCTACACATTTGCTTCACTGGCACTTTATCCAGTGGTGATTTAAATGCAAAACATATTTTGGAGAATTAAAGCAAGTCAGTGGCCAGTGTCGCCAGCCTCGGATTTAGCTTTAGGAAGGGCTAAGTGTCAAGGGTAAACCTTCGTAAGGCAAAGTGATTCCTCCTACTTCCTGCAGTGAAGCTAGCTCGCGATTTTTAAGCGAAGAACAAGCAGTCACATGAAGGACATTCTTTTTTTTCCCCCGAAATACAGATCTTTAAGTCAACAAAGCGGGCTTAAGGCTGCAGTTAACATGTCTGCCGTCTACGACCCCTTTAAGCTTTTGCGTCAAGGATAAATTTGTTCCTCAGCATTTTTTCCACATGACTTTTTCAAAAAGTCAGCTAACAGCATATAAAAAAGGAAATGACCCCAAAACAAATATATCTCTAAGGATTAACTTTAAAATAAAACACCAAAATGACCCTACTTTACAGTCTGGGGTAAGTGTTGACCAAGGGAATAGAACAAAACAGTATACTTAACGGGATTTATAGTTAATATGACGAAAACGTATACCACTATTCAGAATTCACAATATCTTCTGTTTGGAATCTACGATATGGCGTAAAATAGAGCTCCTATTGAACACTGAAGGCAATCCTTAAAAGTACTTTACTTTCGAATTTTATTTATTTGCATACAGGAAAAATTATACTTTCCTCATTATAATATTCACGAAATCTGTTTACATTCATTTCTAATGGAGCCATGTAGTTTTCAAATAGATTTCTCAGAGGATGGAGATCGGGGAAGATCCGTCGCTAATTGGCACGATAACTGGTAAGTGAAAGCACGGACTGCGGGATGCGAAAATGCGCCATTCTGATTCCAAGTCTTCCTGTAGTAATGATGTTAACATCAGCAGCAATTCTCGTTCCAATTTTTGGAAACAAGGTTTGTTGCCATTCGGACTACGAGTTGTGGATTCCGGCGGATTTTATAAAGTTAGGGCAGCAACCGCATTGAAAACTCTCTTTGAAGCAGCATGTACACGCTGGGCTCAAGACTCGAAAACAACACACTGCTTTCTTTGAGGTGAGAGTAAAGACGATGCTCAGATTATCGCAGTGGAACAACTCAAATAGTCAACGGTTATGTTGAAAACGAGGATACACGAGGGAAATAACGCCCAACGAATGTTAAACAGGGTGTATTTGCACACAAATCGACGAATCTGCATTTTTTTCAGAGTTTAAATGCTTCAAAATTTGGATGGGTAGATGATAGTTACAGTAAAAGCATTATCTTTGACTGTTAGCCTTCAATTAAGTTTGCAGACAAGGCGAAGTACGAACCCAACTTTGAATAAGTCCATTAAATACATATTATTTAGAGTCCGGACAATTAAATTTTTATCGTAATTGGTTTAATTTAGGCGCGATAATTCAAACTGTCTTTTTTCAGTTTAGAGTAGAACACCAAATACCTAATCTGTTTTAATGGACATACGTAAGCAGAAGCCACTTTGTAATAAAACATGATAGTAAATGTTCTCAGGCCGATGAAGTACCAGTTTTCCAAAAAATACACCTACAACTCTAGCAATGGTGTCCTAGATTTTTTGTAGGAAAATTAGAAGATAACATGACCAAAATGAAACCATTTTTAGCTCCTGAAGACACCTATGATACGTCAAAAATGCTTCCAATCGACGGCACTTCCTGCGAGCAATGTAAACCGCACAGCACTAACCTTTCTGAAATTCATTTTAGATAATTTCTTATTTGTGGTAGTGTGCCCATCACAAACGGGATTGTATCAAAGCAGCTAATTTTAACTTTGCGTCTATTTGACTTTAAGTAGTCGTATTTGAGTAAATGCAAGTAGCAAGTGCGAAGACATCTTACAAGATCTCAAACTTGTCAGCTCTCAGCAAGTATTGAGTCAAGATGCCATACCCACCTGGAACGATATCTCCGAATCCAATAGTTGATAAGGTGACAAAACAGAAGTACGACCACTTGATGTAATCGGGATTCTCCCACATGCAAAAGACCGTGGCACCGATCAGGATGTAGATGAACATCATACAAAGAGTGAGGCTTATCGGGACATTAACTGTTTTATCATCCGACGATGGCTTGGGTACATTGTGAATGATCAGCTTCCGTTTCACACCGTTGTGGCTAGGACCATTGTTGATCCCACTATTTGAGGTAGAAATGTTCATGTTTTCAGAGGAAAGGAATTTCTTGTATGGTCTATTGTAAGAATCTAGGCTCGAAGACTGTGGAATAATTAA